ATTCTATATAGAATATATATATATATATATATATATATATATATAACACTTTTTTTATCACTTTTAATTATCAAAATCGTATTAATATATTTCAAGGTTTTGCATAAATATTTATAATTATAAATACGAAAAAACAAGATATATGCATATATTATTATAAAATATATAATATTGATAACAAATACGAATAATAAAAAACAATTTCACTAATATTATAAAATAAGGTTATAATAATACGCGTTATTCTTCAAATTTTTTTTACTAAAATTATTGAAATAAGAATACATAGCAATATGACTATTAAATATGCATATTAAATAATTATACCAATAATTAGTATAATTTCAAAATAATTTTCTTTTATCTCTAGCTTAATTTGAGCGAATGTAATGATATTCGAATATTACTAATATTTATTTATATATTTCATTAGTTGATACCTCCTATATTATATTCACTTAACACTTATATTTATTTATAATATATTTTGTCTCGGGGAATAGAAAATGACAAAAGATCAAAGCAATAATTAACCTTGATATAAACTAATATTGACTATATATCTATACATTACATTTGAATAATAAATCAACTAAAGATCGACTAAAGCAAACAGAACTAAAGATAATGAAAGTAGCTTTCATTTCGAGAGTCATTGATTAATAAATGATAAAGACAAAACATGACTTGAAATTGAAGTAATAAAAACAGCAACGAGATAAAGAGCAAAGAATACATATAAATTTATTTTCGGTGAAATTTTGAAAATTTTATTTTATCGATAATAAATTTTCTATCGTCTATTTGAAAATAAAATTCTTGATAATTTTAAATTATAATTTTAAATAATTTTAAATATTTTATTAGTATTTTTTTATGAAATTATCATTAAAAAATATTTAAATTTTCTAATTATGTTTTATCGATACATAATCATAATAGGAAAAATTTATAATCAAAATAAGCTAATATATTTCTTATATATTATTGTACTTAACAAATAAAAATGATTCATTACCATAAATTTTATTATATTAATGATATTATTTATATTACATGGACATTTGTTGTATTAATTAAAATCATTAGTCAGAAAACAGATGAATTATATTTAGATTATATATCTTTTTATTAGAAAATGTTTAATGTAACATTCATATCATCATTTTGCTTGCAAGATAAATAGAATATTTTATTTTAAATCAATATAATGCTCGTATTTAACAGAATAAATAAATTAAACAGAATATATTTAGATTTAATAAATATTGTAATATAAGATATTGTAATATAAAATAATTAAAAAATAAAATAAATTAAATTCTCATATTTTATTTATTTATTTTAGTAATCATTTTCAATTTTTGAAAGATTTTAAATTTAAATTATTTTTTTAAATTTTTGAGTATATTTAAAATCATAGATTGAAATTAGAATATTACACATAATTATACACACACACACACCCACATTTATATATATGTTCGAAATTAGGACATAAATATTAAAACACAAAAGTAATTTTTATTTTTCGTATATATTAAATATAAACAAACGTGAACAACATTTGCAATGTATAGTAGTCAAGCTGACTGATAAGAGTATCAGTTAGAGTTTAAGTACATGATTATTCAACTTGATTTGATTATCATATCATTGTCGGTTCTTTTCGAGATTTTTTTCTTAAATATGTTTTTTTTTATTAATAAAAGGATCATTAATCATTGTCGGGAATCATTATTGCGCTAAATACGACACGTTTCAACGTTACATCTTTAATATAGTATACATTCAGATTAATGCTACGTACTTTTGATTCTTTGTTTCTCAGTTATAGTGATTCCTCCATCGCGACCAATTAAGATTTCGTTGTTTTTTCTTTTCCTCTTATAAAAAATTATCGTTCACGATGGAAAAGTCACATTAAGGTTATCTCATTGGGGGAGGGGGGAGGGGGGGGGATTGCGAAAATTGCGAAAACAATGCAATCAATGGAATCGTGTAAAAAATTTCAAACGCTGATCGATTAATTTCATTCAATCACGATCTTACATACGAATCTTATCAAATAAAATCTACTAAATCCTATAATTAAAGATACAATTAATTACAGTTACTTAATTACATAATTACATAATCATAATTTACAAGTAAAAAAGTAAGTCGAACGCAAATATGTTCGGGAATTCTTTCTTTTGTTTGCCTCGTTCTTTCGAGAAAAAAAAAAAGAAAATTTCATCGAGTGA